GGGGCGCGTCCCTGGCCCGCCCGCCAAGCCCCGGCTTTCCCACCCGCCCTCAGGTCCCATCCGGAGCCTCCCAGCCAGTGCACTCACAGGAGGAGAGCAGAGACCAGCAGGACGGAGGCCCAGAGCGCCCGGCGCCGGCAGCCCGTCCGCCGGCCCCGCTTCTGGTACATGCGACCCCCGCAGTTCCCACAGCAGCGGCAGCAGCAGAAGCAGCATCCCACCAGGGGCACGAGGATGATGAAGAGGAGCCCGATGGCCATGCAGACCAGGAAACCCAGTTCGTAGAGCAGCAGCTGGAAGAGGAAGAATGAGAGGTAGCATAACGCTGGTGCCCCTGAAGGCTCCCCATCTCTGAGGGTCCTGTCCAAATCCCCACGGGGCAGGATGGGTCCCCCCAGGGGGTTGCACATCTCCCCTTGCTGCTGCCCAGCAGCACCCAGGGCTCAGCCTCCGAGCAGCACCTGCCAGCATCCCCCAGCCCGCTGCAGCCTGGGGCTGCCGGGTCCCTGCCCTGGCTGCTTGCTTACCTCCTGGACTTGCTCCCCGACGGCCTCCTCACTTGGGGGCTGCCCAAAATCTGCAATCAGTTCTGGGAGACAAGGAGCAGAGAGGGCCATGAGTGGGTGCTGGGCCCTGGAGGGTTCTTGAGGAGGGTCCCACACCCTGCTCACCCAAGAGAGGTGCTCCCAGACCATCACCTCCAATGCCGCAGCTCAGAGCGGCTGTGAGTGCATGGCATGTTTCTCCCTTCCAGCAGTCCCTCCCCAGCCACCATGCCACACAGCCTTTTTGCAGCCAGGAAAAGCGCTGCCAGCCCCCAGGCTCTCAGGGGTCCACAGAGCAATGGGGTCCTCGACCCAGCGAGCATCGGGGGCAGGCTCAGGGGAGGATACTCCAACAACCACCTTGGCTGTCCTTGGGCTACCCTCCTGCAGCCCAGCCCCAGGCAGCCTCCCGGCTGGCACTGCCAGCATCGGATGGGTGCTGGGACAAAGTCCTCCTGCCATGCTGCCTCTTTCATCCCCAGGGCTCGCCCTGCCCATGCCCCATTGCCTCATTACAAGCCGTGCTGGCACACGGTGCCGTGTAATTGTACTCCAGTATCTGTGTGACACGAACAAGGCCACAAAGCCACTGTGTTGTTTGCCAGCCATGCATTTGCCTGCAAGTTGTTGACAAGCCGGGGTTGAGCCCAGCAAAGGAGGAAGCACAAGTGTTGACCGCCAGAGTGGCACCCCCCCCCCCCAAGTGGGCAGCACTCGCACTGCAGCGAGAAGCCGCGGGGTCCTGGCATCCCCCACAGCCACTTTTGGGGCAGACCTGTGCCAGGGACACATCCCCTCGGAGGCGAAGGAGGGAGGACAAGCGCTGGCAAGCAGGGTGGTGCGTGGGGGGTGCCTGCAGCACTGCCGTGCGGGCACTGGCACTGGGACACGCTGCCCTTGGTGGCCCTGAGCTGAGTCCTGCCTAAGCACACCCTGTCACCTGCAAGCACAGAGGGCTGCAAGCCAGGCAAGGACCCCGCAAACTCGCAGGCAGCGCGGGATTTGGTCTGCACCTTTCGTTGGAACCTGGGATGGCAATGCTCAGAGGGACAATGAGGCAGGACTCTGCGAGGTGGCACTGCCACCAAAGCCTACCCTGGGGCCCACCTGGGACTGCCGTGATGGGACACGGGCAGCACACAGATGGAATCCTCAAGGACCCCACTCCATCCCCGCTCCAGACCCCTCCTAACCCAGTACACTGGCATTTAAATGCTGGGTGGACAGTCACCAGAGCAGCAGGGCTCAGGCTCCCCCAGGACCCCACAGCTCTGAGCAGCCCCCCCCACCCCATCGCCAGTTCCCCGCTGCCGTGCACCCACCTATGGGCAGGGCATTGGGCTGCACCAGCCGCAGGAAGCCATGCACCATCCCCACCAGGCCCGGCGTGCTGCTCCCCGGCGCCTCGGGGCCGGGACCGTACACAGGCTGCGAGATGTTCCCCAGCTCCATCGCGGTGGCTCTGGCAGGCGCCTGGGCAGAGAGAGGGGCTGTCGGTGTCGTTGAGGTGCAGGACCACCCAGCCTGCCCTGCCTCCTGCCTCAGGCGCCTGAGAGAGAGGGGCTGTCGGTGTCGTTGAGGTGCAGGACCACCCAGCCTGCCCTGCCTCCTGCCTCCGAGCAGGAAATGCGGGGAGAAAAAATCAGGCACCTGCCAGCTCCTGCCCGGAAGGAAAGAGCTGCCGGAGAGCACCGGGGAGGGATGGGGAGTTCCGGGAGCAGCAGGGTGGGGGGCCAGGCAGGAGATGCCCACAAGGGACCAAGGGAGGCACCGGGGAGAAACCCCTCTGCTCGCCCTCCGCAGAGCTCCTGTGCCCTTTCTGGTTTCCTCCTGTCCTGACCCAGGAGCTGGGTGACCCGTGGTGATCCCGGGGTCAGCCATCCTGCCTGCTCCACCCCAGCGCCAGCTGCATCCCTTTCGGATGAGGTGCACTGGGCCGGCCACAGTTTCGGCACAAACCAGCTCTGGCCACAGAAACAGGTTTTGTATTTTAAAAACCTTCCCAAACGGGGCATTGCAGCAAACCCGGCGTTTTCCACACGCACCCCGACCCCCCCACACGTCGGGCCAGCCTCAGGGGCCCCCAGACGGGAGTTTT